CTGAATTCTACATTAACAGCAATGTTGGGCTGGGCTGAGAAAAGGCTCCTTGCATACCATGACACTTTTGATGCTGGGAATATTGAATCAATGCCAACCATTGTATCTATAGGGGTATCTGCAGCAAAAATTCTTGTTGAAGATATTTCTAATGAGTATCGTCGGCGGCGTAAGAGCGAAGTTGATGTGGCTCGGAGTAGAATTGACACTTACATCAGGTCATCACTTCGCACTGCATTTGCTCAGGCAAGTTCCATCTTTTCTAACTTTTAATGGGAGCATAACAGTTATTAGGCTTGATTTCTTTTAGACAAAGTTATTGTTGTAGACTTTTTTAGCAAGCACCACCTTTTGACTAGCTGCTTTTACAAAGTTATGTTATTAGTGTTTGTTAAATTGACAAATTAGGATTATAAGGTGTGAATTCGTAAATTTTCTAACTTTTGTTGTCTGGCATACTTTTAACATTTAAAATTATGGGAAAGCATTTTTCAAACAGAAGTATAAGGTGTTGCATGCCTCAAAGCATGTCTATTAATGTGAATGTGGGTAAAATACTGCATCTATCTCCTTTATCAAAAAATACTGCATCTATCTCAAATTGCTCCACCTTTTGTTTGGGTCGTTTCCAATCTGATTCTACTTTCAGCTCCAATTTATGTGATATACTTTCTACCTTGGTCATATCAGTCCTAGTGCCTTAGTTGACACTTACTGTAGCTTTATCAGTTTGGACACTTATTTTTCCTTGTCTGCTCTCTTTACATATTTGTGATATGTAAAGTTATATTGCCAGCTTTCCCATGTCTCACCTTCATGAAACCTATACTTCAATGGCTAAACCCTGCCAACATTCTCAAACCTCTATGAAGTTTTCCTTTCCTGTAAGTTTTTCCAGAATTCTCATATTTGGGGGCATAGGCTCCTCCTTCAATTTTCACCAGCCTATCTCAAACTTGTACGAAGTCTTAGTTCCCTCTAAGTTTTGCCACGATTCTCATATTTGGGGTATATTTGTAATGATTTTCTTCTGTCAGCAGATGTTTGTAGAAAGGGTAGTGATTGTGCTTGGTGCAGTTCCTTATTGCTTAGCTTAAAAAGTCAGCTTAACATGTTAATGGAATGAACCATCTGAATAGAGTGCAATTTAAAACTGGAATTTGGTTTCTTGGATGCAGTTAATGGAGAAGGCGGATTCAAGCAGGAGAGCATCAAGACACCAACCAAATCCTCTTCCTGTCCTTGCCATCCTCGCAAAGGATGTCGGTGAGCTGGCTTCTAAAGAGAACGAGATTTTTAGTCCCATCTTGAAGAGATGGCATCCTTTTGCTGCAGGTGTGGCTGTTGCCACCCTACACGTTTGCTATGGGAATGAGCTGAAACAATTTGTTTCGGGTATAACGGAATTGACACCAGATGCTGTACAAGTACTGAGAGCAGCAGATAAACTGGAGAAAGATCTTGTGCAGATTGCTGTTGAAGATTCAGTGGACAGTGATGATGGTGGGAAGGCCATTATCCGTGAGATGCCACCATTTGAAGCTGAAGGTGCAATAGGCAACATGGTGAAAGATTGGATTAAGACAAGAATAGATAGACTCAAGGAATGGGTTGACAGAAATCTCCAACAAGAGGTATGGATTCGTCAGTTGATATTTGCTTTCAACTTCCCATACACAAGGTGGAAGCAACTATTTTATATCTGCTTATCTGCTGTGATTAGAAGGCAACTTTTGTCTCTATCATAGGCCCATAGCCTATTTCCCTTGATCAAACCCCTCAGCAGCTGAATTTGATGTTTTGTGGTAAGAACCAAGAGTATATACAAGTTGAACGCATGGAGTGACACCATATACCTAGAAAAAGACAAGAAAAAGTGACTTTCAGAACCCTCCCTATTACAGGATTTTGGGTTTTAAAAATGAGATAATTATTCTGAGCAAACTTTTCCTTGCTTGAGCAGGTTAAGTAGCCCCATACAAGCGTCAAGAGACTTTTTAGACTTGAACACCTTAGATTAAAGATAACCGCAGACCTGTAGGAAACTGAGGTTTTCATCTCATAGGCCCTATATGAACTTGTTTTTCTGAACTCCGCACGCTTATAACATCTGCTCCTGATACAGAGAGGATCATTTATTTGTCGGATGACCCTACAATCCTGCCTTTAGATTGTAGAAATTGCTGATTAAATTTTGTTTTTAACTATGCTTATCTTATATCTTTGGTTTGCGTTCTTATCTTGTTTTCTGTGGTAAAAAGGTCTGGAATCCTCAAGCTAACGAAGGAGGATTTGCCCCCTCTGCTGTTGAAGTCCTGAGGATTATTGATGAAACTTTAGACGCATTCTTCCACCTACCGATACCCATGCATCCAGCATTGCTCCCGGACTTGATGAGTGGCCTCGATAGATGTCTTCAGTATTACGTATCAAAGGCAAAATCTGGATGTGGTAATTTTTCTAGATCTTATTATGAATAGGAAGACCACAGTTTTTATAGTGTAACATGTCCATTAATGAGTGGTCCCATTTGTAGGATCAAGGAACACATACGTTCCAACCATGCCTGCACTAACCAGGTGTACGACTGCGACAAAGTTGTGGAAGAAGAAGGATAAGACGCTTAATACGAAGAGGAACTCACAGGTTGCTACAATGAACGGTGATAACTCATCTGGGGTACTGCAGTTGTGTGTACGTATAAATACTTTCCATAGAATTCGGACTGAGCTAGAAGTTCTCGAGAAGAGAATTATTATTCTTTTGAGGAATTCTGAATCTGCTCATGTAGAAGACTTTTCAAATGGGTTAGGTAAGAAGTTTGAAATCTCACCTGCTGCTTGTATTGAGGGGATCCAACAACTCTCTGAAGCAGTTGCCTATAGGATTATCTTTCATGATCTAAGTCCTGTTTTATGGGATGGACTGTATATTGGGGAGCCAGCTTCTTCGCGCATTGAGCCTTTCCTTCAAGAACTCGAAAAGAATCTGACAATCATATCAAACACTGTTAATGAAAGAGTCCGGACTCGGATGGTTGCGGACTTAATGAGAGCATCCTTTGATGGTTTCCTTTTGGTTTTGCTTGCTGGAGGACCTTCTAGGGCTTTCACTCAGCAGGATTCACAAATTATAGAGGACGATTTCAAGTCCCTCAAAGATGTATTCTGGGCAAATGGGGACGGATTGCCCGTGGATGTGATAAACAAGTACTCAACAACAGTAAGGGATGTACTTCCTCTTTTCCGGGCTGATGCAGAGAGCCTCATCGAGCGCTTCAGGCGATCAACTTTGGAAACTTATGGTTCATCCGCAAAATCGAGGCTTCCCTTGCCCCCTACATCAGGGCAATGGAACCCAACTGAACCAAACACCCTTTTACGCATCTTGTGCTACCGAAATGATGAAGCTGCTTCCAAGTTCCTTAAAAAGACTTACAACTTGCCTAAGAAACTGTGATTGGTTGGAAGTTGTGATCAAGGAAAGTAGCTTCTTGATTGGAGATCAATCTTGGCCCATGTTTTGGATGTTCCCTGATATGAATCAGATTGACCAAGAACATCCTCAAGCCAAGGGTTATAGATATCTTGGGAATATTTAAGGACTGGCAATTTTCTTGTATAGTAAAAAGTTTGGATCTTTGGTTACTTCATTTCAGCATGTTGCTTTCAGAAGGGTAGGAATCTGAGGCGGCGGTAAGCATTTATTGGAGGGAACAGTTTGTGGAGATATGTTCCTATTATTTTGATTGTTTATAGATTTTCAGGTCCCAACAACAGAGTAATTGATTTAAGATTCATTGTCTTCTACATATATATTCGTTTATTCCTTCTGATTTCCCTATGTAGTCACAGAATTTGGATGGCTTTTGTTAATAGTATTTATATACTGGTCTTTATTGATGTATTATGTTCCCCTGGTTTATTTTCAGATGAAGTCCAAAGTCGAGCCACCAGGATTGACCATGAGTTGGTTGTTTGGTTCAGTATAACCTAGGAGTGTAGTTATATGGTTATGAATAGACTGTAATAGTTGTTCATGTGTTTGCTTTAGGCTGGCTTAAATATGAACTTTTGTGACAAATATGCCTTTTAATAATTTATTAAACAACCCAGAAAAATTACTTGAATTAAGTGCATTACATTACATGAAAATAAACTAAGCAGACCGAATGTATCAACAAAAATTGTTTGTGAAGTTCCCAAAAAAAAAAAAAGAATAAATAAAATGAAAATGGTAAAGCAATATTCCTCTGGTCCACTTTAATTGATTTTTCGAATATTTTCACACATATTAAGGAATTCACCTTTTAACAATAATTAACAATAAAATTGATCATATTAACCTTAATTTGTACATTGAAAATATGGCAAATACACTCTTGAATTATAGGTTTGATAAATGCGTAGAGAGAGAGAGAGATATGTTAATTATGACAGATTAATTACTCCCTTCGATCCACAATAAGTGATCAATTTGACTTGGGCACACCCATTAAGGGAATACTCAATTCTGAACAAAAATAATTAGTGTGACTAAACTACCCTTAATTAAATGTTGCAGCATAGTTATAGTAGCACTTACTTCTCTTATCAAATGTGAGGAATAAATGACTTTTTAGGGATACGTATATAAGGGTAATTTTGGAAAAACAAATTGATTTTTTTTCTTGATTATATAAATGGACACTTATTTTGGACCAAAATAAAAAGGCAAATTGGTCACTTATTGTGGACCGGAGGGAGTATTTGTTTACCGCCATGCAGTGCCGTAGTACTTGTACTTGATGCTTTTATCAGTTAGACTCATATTTCCCTCCGTCTCGTATTAATAGTCGTGGTTACTAAAAATAGTTGTCTCAAATTATTTGTCATTTTAGAAGTTCAAGACAAATTTGATTATTATTCTTTTATCCTTAGTAATAATTTTTCTTGGCGATGGAGATAACACATAAATAGAATAAACATTCAATGAAAGAAGATTATATCTTAAGGCATAAATAAAAGTAGAATAGTCCAAATCCTTTCCTAATTAATATTTCTTAAGGGGTGTGTAAAAGGGAAACACGACGACAACAGAGGGAGTATATATAATTCAGTGCAGCTTTATTACAACAGATCATAATCTTATTCCTTAAAATAATGTAATAGTATTTGGTATCTTTAGTTATTGTGGTTGCACAACAACAATGATAAGGATAATGAAGCTAACGACAATATTATTCATCTCTTGCACACAACTCCTTTTCCATCCATACCACTTGCACACTTCAAGTCAGCATAGTCAAATTCTTCTTCACTACTGCCATCAATTTGAGTGCCACTGAATCTTGAAACAGCACAATCAGTGGAGAAAAGATCCGAGGATGAAAATTCTTTCTCCCCACCCAAAACAGGCATTTCACTTCCCATTTTCACCCTGCTTACATAATTGCTTGCATAAGTCTGTCCCAAAACTCCATTTACCTTGCCACTCAATGAGTAAAACTTGAAGCTCAAATCTAAATGAGCAAAGCAGTTTTCCTCTGTGATACCATAATTATGAATTCTTGAATCTGTTTCAGTAATTGGTACCACTCTAGCTTTTATCTGGAAATTCCCTTCCACTTCAATCACCACAGAATTAGTATCGCGAGTTCTTGAAATGGAAACTCCTTGAGCTGACATTGGTTCCCACTTGGCTCCTTCACGATCAGGAAGAAATATTTGTTGTCCATCGAAGGCTAAGTCTAGGCGATCAACTGCATCGTTCCAGGTTGATGTTTTCTTGACACCAATAAATATTTGATGGTTGTTGAAGAGAATTCCAAGAGATTGTACCCAAGTGAAGTCTCTCTTCATGTTTTCGTTTCTCCTACCAATGAAACGAGCATTAATGTGAAGATTGGAATCGGTAACTAAGCAAAAATCATCATCTTTTTTGCCATGGAAGTAGAATGTAAGTCCATCAGCGCCTACGAATCTTGGATCTTGGCAAACAGCACCTGCCCTGTTGCAGTCTGCTCACAACGTTCAAAAAAAGCAAGGTTAAAAATCATTACTAACAATATATAAAAATTAATGGCCAACGAACAGATGATATTACACAAATCTTAACTATTTCCGAGCATTTTTTAATATGCATTACTGATATTGGATTTGGCAGTTAGAAAAAAGATGGTTATCAAACATGATGACATATCATATTCTAGCTTATATGGGTGTTATAACATGCATGACATTTCTATGAATATAAGAGCGTGTCACCAAGGAAAAAACGAGAAGTTTGACATTAAAGAATATTTATAAATGTGTCAATCTTTTTCGAACGAACAGAGGATTACTATTCAATAGACAAGAGAAATTACTAGTAGTTGTTAATGGAGATAAGGATCTTACTACAAACAGGGCTGCAAGTGACACAGTCAACTTCACAAGTATCCGGACAAGCACTAGGACATTGATACTCCTGACGGTAGCACTGAGGGTACAACTTATTCTTGCAATAAACTCTCTTTCCACCTGCAGCTTGATCTGACGGTGGTGGTGAGTTAGGGGTAGGAGGAGGAGGAGGAGGAGCCAATGGTGGAGCTAGTGGTGGAGGTGAGTTAGGGGTAGGAGGAGGAGGAGGCGGAGCTAGTGGTGGAGGTGGTGGTGAGTAATTAGGGGTAAGAGGAGGAGAGGGAGTGAATGGAGGGGATAGTGGTGGAAGTGGTGTTGGAACAAGACAAACAGGTTGACATGAGACACAATCAGCTACACATGTACGTGCGCAATTGGTAGGGCAGGCAAAGCTTTTGTGATAACAACTAGGGAATTTCTTGTCTTGGCATTTCACTTTCTTAGGTGAACGAGGTTTTGGTGGTGGAAGTGGTGGTGCAACACAAACAGGTTGACATGAGTCACAGTCAGCTATACATGTACGTGGGCAAGTAATTGGGCAGAAAAGATCTTTGTGATAACAACTGGGGAATTTCCTGTCTTGGCATTTCACTTTCATAGGTTTAGGAGGTCCGCCCTCGGCCAAAACCACCAGAAGGAGGAGGAGGAGGACGGCGGCGAGAAGGCAGAAACTGGTTTGAGCCATTTCTGCAGATTGAACTAGGAAGATTAATGTAGGAAGTTATTCTCAATGGTATAGTGATATGATCTTGGCATGCATGTTTTTTATAATGGTCTTGTATGTTAGGGTAAAACTTGAGAGTGAAATTACCTTTTAATGTATAATACTATATGGTTTTGGCCCCCTTGAGTCTAGCATGCATACATGGCCACTTGGCTGTGTTAACATGCCTTGTTCCTCAATGCATGGCTACATTTGGGTTCCAAAAGTCAACCTAAAAACATTTGGTCCAAACTTTAAACTTTGGATTTGGTTTTGGCTTAAATTTTTAAAATACAAATTTGGGGACAAGTTGTGTTTTCGGATTTTTGAATTTTGAAAGTGATATGTTGGAGGATGAAAACTTGCTTTTGATTTTGGTTTCAGAAACTATTTTTGATTGGTTTGAGTTTCAAATACCATAATTTATTCTTTTGAATTAAACTACCTTAAATAATTTTGATTTTTGGAAAAAATTATGAAAATCTTTTCTAAACTAAACTGACCAAGAATCTTGGAGAACGTAGTTTGGTCACCGTCTCAATTTTCATGAAAACACTCGATCTTGCTAACTAAACTAATTAGTTGATATGACAAAAAGTGCGTGTTATATATTATTAGTAATCCCAAAATTTTCACATATCAAATTCAGATGATTTAGGCCCTGAAAATCACGGAAGAAGAAACACTTCTTTTTTCTTGTTAATTCTGTTATTGTAGTACGTACTGGCAACCATTTGGAAGATTTTCTAAGAAGTTCCACTTGTTATGGTTGAAATAACAAATTAAAGATCTTGCTGTATCAATATCTAGTCATGGCTTTGTATAGATCAAAGGTTTGTTAAGTCATTTAAGTCCTTTAAATATGATGTTAAATAACAAATAGTTTGTCTACTCTTGTTTGGTTTTTATATTCCAAGTTGTATCTTCTGCTAAGGCGTTGCATGCAAAAATAAGCAAAGACTTGAAAAGGATGTCAACCCTAAGCTTGTACGAAACTAAGCTGTTCATGTGTCTGGTCAAAACTTTCCTTTCTGCTTGTTAAAGAAAGCAAAGTGTTTTTTTGACTATTTCTCCTCTTCTCTTTTTTAATTCCTAATTAAGGAAGAGTTGATCTATGGATTACAGAAGAAAGTGTCGGGTAAATTTTAAAAATAGCCAGATTTACAACTGGTCGTTCAAAAATAGCCCAATTTCAAAAGTAATCGAAATTTAGCCACTTTTTATATAAAGATAAATCTGAGCGAAAACACTGTTCAAAACCCGGAAAATACTCCAGTATATTATGCTGGAGTTCCAGCATAAGTATACTTGAACTCCAGCATATTATACTGGAGTTCCAGAATAAATATGCTGGAACTCCAGCATAATATGATGGAGTTCCAGCATAAGTACACTAGAACTCCAGCATAATATACTGGAGTTTCAGCAAGTATATTGGTCCAGTATAATATACTGGAGTTTGGAGCACCGGTGCTCCAGTCTCCAGTATATTATACTGGAGCCAGCAAAGTATACCGATCCAGCATATAATATGCTGGAATTCATACACAAGTGCACCGAACTCCAGTATATTATGCTGGCCTGGTCTCTATTGCAGCAAAATAGTGGCTATTTTTCATTGACTTGGTAAACGCTGGCTATTTTTGATTGAACATTCCGAAAACCGGCTATACCGTGCTATTTTTACGAAAGTGTCGGCTAGGTAATAAGCTAAAGTTGGTTAAAATCAGCATAAATATAGAAGGACTAATCTTAAGCAATATTTTCCAAACACCAGGAGAAAATATAATGGAAATGAATAAAGGGATTTTTAAAAAATAGAATGGACGTGTTCTACAACAGAATGATAGCACATTATTTTTATTCATTTGTTATTTTACGAACAGCATAGTACATTGATACAACTTGGATTTTCGTTAGTTTTCTTAGATTTTTCTTGTAGTTGACCAAGAAGATATAAAGGAAACAACGAATTCGATGAAATTAAAATTTTACACATACATGCAGGATAAAATCGCATCAATAATAATCAACTCTTTTTGGTACATGCTATATATAGTAAGATTGGTCCATAATAAATGATTAAATGATAGCACGCTACGTGAAACCGAAGACAAGAAAAAGACCATTCACATGACAACCAATACTGGGAACAATAGCTGTTGTTAGTATCGGATAAACTCCAAAAGGAACCTGGTTAACGGGAGCAGTTTGAATGTTTGTCATCGGATAGCATTCAATGAAGAATGTTCCCTAACATTAAATGGATAGCCGTTGCAGAGAATATTTGCATTCATGGCCTATTGTTACATATTATCAATGCCCCCTTTATTATCATCTAAGAGGGGCTTGATCCTAGGAACTCAACAACCATTGTAAGGGGGTAGGAGATTCGGAGCAAAACTTATGTTGTATTGTACTTTCACTCTCTATTAAAACAACTTTATTTGCTTTTTACATTGCTCTTACTTCTGTCCTCGGAGATACTGTTCTCTGAGCCAAGCTTGCCATCTCTTCAATTTTAATCGCTAAGTCTTACTTTTAATCTTCTTTATTTCTATTCCTGGATCAAATCAATTCGCTTGTCTATAAACCACGTAACAAATTTAACTGTACCATTTTACGGGTAAACAGTTTGGCGCCCACCGTAGGTCTTAGACAGTTACGCAATTGAGTTGATCCTTGCATTTATTACTAACTTATTTGATTTTTTTCTTAGCAAGAAATCGAAAATGGCAGCTAATGATGTCAACATCGCACAACGTTGAGGGACACGAATTTGCCTCAACATGAGGATTCAATCAGCGACACCCATAACGAAGGGGATGAGGTAACCCCGGTTCGTGGGGGACAGTACCCCCGGCATATACGGGAGCCAACTCGCGATGGCGCGGAAGAGGAAAACATTGTGATAGCAGTTAAAATCCTAAGAGAGCAACATAATGCCATCATGGGTCACCTTTCAAGACAGGATCAGGTGATGACGGAGTTGAAGCAAGCGTTGTCAGACGCTTCCAACAATGCCAACAGAAGGGGTCCAGTTCCTTTCGACATTCCTACAAATCAGACGGCCCAAAGAGTTGATAACAATACCCCAAGGGTGAGGTCAGCTTCGAAGGTGCCGGGGGGACCGGTAGCAGATATGGTAATGGTAACAGGAATGATCCTTTTAAAACCGAGCTCATGAGATTTATGAGGGAAATGAACGAACGGATAGATTCAAAACGCGAAGAAGTTTAACGCCCGAATATATCAGATTCCAGGTGCACCTCCAGTTCTGAAGGACCCAGATTCGAAAAAATACACTCAGTTGACATTTAAACTGAGCGCAGCACTGGAGTTAATTCCAAAGAGGTTCAAGATGCCAGACATACCAAAATACGAAGGGACTTCGGACCCACAGGAGCACATCACAACTTATACCGCAACTGTGAAAGGGAACGATTTGGCTCAACATGAGATCGAATCGGTTCTACTGAAGAAGTTTGGAGAAACCCACACGATGGGGCCCCTGACATGGTATTCAATTTTACCTGAAAACTCAGTTAACTCTTTTGAAATACCTGTAGATTCAATCATTAGCCCATGTGGGGGCCAGAAAGGTTCAAGAGAGGAAGGCGGACATATTTAGGATCGCACAAGGTGAGTTCGAATTATTACGTGAATTCGTGATCAGATTCTAAAAAGAAAGGATACTGTTACCGGCCGTATAGGACGAGTGTGCAGTGGAGGTGTTCACAAAGGGTGTGAATCTGAGGAGCTCTGACGCCTCCCAAAAAGCTGAAGGAAAGCCTGCTCGAATTCCAAGAGACTACATGAGCAGATGTTCATAACCGTTATGAGTCAAAATTAAGGATAGAAGACGATTAGCTCGGGTTCCCGACATCAACCAAGGTACTGGACTGAAACAAGAACCTAGATAAGTTCAAAAGCAATTTTGATGTGGACCGACGATTTTCTAAAGGTCGTTTCCTGCCATACGAAAGAACCGAAGGACACGACAACAAAGGGTTTCGGACCTCGAATAGGTTCACCCCCGACAGAAGAACTAACAGTGGCCGGAACAACGATAGTTAACAAGAAAAAGAGGTATCGGGGGTTCAGGATTGCACGTATCCCAAGTTATTGGATTACAATTTCAACATCAGCATAGTGGAATTGGTATTAGCGATGAGGAATATCAAAGAAGAACGGTTCCCAAAGCCAATCAGATTCGATACCAGCAGAGGGACCCTAACTTATGGTGCGAATATCATGGGACTTATGGACATAGAACTGGGGACTGCCCAGATCTGATGTAACGACCCGACCGGTCGTTTTGAGCTTTTGCACTTTACTCGCCAGTTCTCGGGCATGACTTGCCCCGTGTAGTATATTATGACTTATGTAAAGGTTGGATTTGGTTTTTAGGGTAATCGGAATGAATTTGGAAGAACGGTTCTCAATTTGAAGCTTGAAATTTGAAAGGTTTGACCAATATTTGACTTGCTTGTATACGATCTCAGATCGGAATTTTTATGATTTGGTTAGCTCCATTAGGTGAATTGGGACTTAGGAGCGTGATCGGAATGCATTTTGGAAGTCCGTGGAAGGTTTAGGCTTGAAATGGCGAAATTGAGATTTTGGCGATTTCCGGTTGGTAGGCGAGATTTTGATATAAGGGTCGGAATGGAATTTCGAGAGTGGCAGTAGGTACGTTGTGTCATTTGGGATGTGTGCGCAAAATTTCAGGTTATTCGGACGTGGTTTGGTTGGGTTTTTTATCAAAAGCGGAATTCGGAAGTTTTTAGAAACTTGGGCTTGAATCTGAGGTGTTTTGGTTGATTTGATGTTGTTTGAAGTGTCTTGAGGATTGGAACAAGTTTGAATAAGGTATTAGGTTACGTTTGTGCCTTTGGTTGAGGCCCCAGGGGTCTCGGAGAGATTTCGGGTGCTTAACGGAGAAGTTAGATGTTGATTGCAGCTTCAGATTTGCTGCTTCTGGCATTTTCGCATCTGCGGTTTGGGGACCGCAGATGCGGCGCCGCAGATGCGGGTATTTTATCGTAGAGGCGAAAGAGGGTCAGATGGGCAGGG